TTTCTTTTATTCAATTTTTTTTTAAAAAAAGGGAAACTACCTATATGATGTTAATGGAATGATGACCTAAGAATGTACAAAGGGGTATAAAATTTATATTATTTTTATTTCTTTATTATCTGTTTGCTTATTTTAAAAATTATAATCCATCTTATTAGAACAAAATAATACAAATAAATGCACACACACATGCTCAATCAGCGTACACCCACGAACAATCATGTTAAAAATCCTTGGTCTGTGGTCCCTGTCAAGAAAAGTGTGTTGTATAGGATGGTTATAATCTCACTGGTCTTAAGGCCCCCGAGGTGTCCCCATTATAACGACCCAGTATCTCTATTGCCGTCACCTAGAAAACTCTAAGGTCTGTCGCAGTATTTCGGGCTAGAGTAACCGGTTATCACCTTGAGTGTGATTTCTGACAAGGCTTGTAGGCTCCAAGGCCAAACTTGGGTCAGTCGTACGTCAATCACTCCCTATGTTTAATACTCTCATGCCCGGGGTGTAGGGAGAACTGTTGTGTACAAAGGTTTGTGTACAATTGTTATCTCAAACAAGTGCTAAATTTAAACAGGCAAACAAATGTGAAAGCCAAGCAAATAAAACAAACAAAGTAAAGGGAAAAAAATTTAAATTATTATACTTATTTTATTAACATCATCATTTATATGGGCCTGACCCTCTTAAACATCCCCAGCGAAGTCGCCATCTTTCGCAACCCAAAAATTTCGGATCTCGCGACCTATGGTTTAGACATCCTTTTAAAAATCTAATCAATTAAGGAATGCCTAGACGCCAGAATAATCCTTAATTAATGGTTTTTGAAAATAAGTTCATGGAGTCGCCACCAATATTTTACTCAAAACATTGGAAAAAGAAAAGGTTTTTAAGAGTCCAATAATGGACTTGATAACCAAAATTGGGTTCGGGGGTCAGGGGTCGGTTACATGTAGGGAATGTATTAAGCACCCCTACAACACCCTTAATCGGTACCCTATGATGAAGTTAATGTGATAAGAATTAATAAATTAAATATTAGATCCCTTTTGTTAATATTTATTTACATGCTTAAAATTTAAATTACACAATTGACTCTAAAATGTCTACATGATTGCTTTTGTTATAACAATGTCTATTAAAGATGAGAGATAAAAGTTAGAGAAGAAGATAAAGATGAGAAATAAAAGATAGAGAAGTAGATTGATTGAAATACCTCGTAGCAAGCTTTGTTAGATCTTCAATTATGGAAAATCTAGATGCTTTGTGGCAACCTTTCACACTACAATTGCCTCGCAAAACTCAAGAAATACAATAGGAGGGAGAGAGAGAGAAATTTCGAGCTCTAAGGAGTCTTAGACAAAATTTTGTGGCCTCGAGAATTGGGCCCAAGCTGTCTATTTATAGACATCAAAAAGTTGCCAGAACAGCCCGTTCCAAAATCAAAACGGCCCATTTTGGATTCGATCGTTCTGTGTTAATTTTGTAACCGAAACGACCCGTTCTAAAACTAGAATGGTCTGTTCCAAAGATGAGATTAACACATAATTAACTAGACTGGAACGACCGTTCCAAACAAGGATTTTTAGGCCTTTTTAATAACTTGGAACGGCCTGTTCCAGTTTAGGAACGACCCGTTCTAGTTAAGGTTTTAACCCCTTTTTAGGAGCTTGGAACGACCTGTTCCAGTTTAGGAACGACCCGTTCCAAACTAGGGTTTTAGGCCCTTTTAGGAACTTGGAACGGCCCGTTCTGGTTTTGCAACAGCCTTTTCCAGGCTAATAAAACCAGCTTGTTTAGGCTTTCAGGCCTGATTTCTTGTCCTGTTATTTCCATGCTTGGGAGCTCCATTTCTTTGATGATAGACGTCCATTTCATAGCTTTTGTTGGTCTGGACGAAATTGGGTGTCGACAGGTGGCATGTAGATGGACATAAGAAAGATGAATAACTAAGGCATCTAACTAATTCTTTGCAATATAAGAAGTAAACATAGTTCATGATCTGTGATGGTAGTAATTTACAACTTACCTTTGTGGTTGCGCATAAAGCATAAATATATGATGATATGATGATTTTGGGTCCAAGACAACCATAAAACAATATTGATGATTATATTAGCCCTTTAGTTGAGGACTTAGGGATGTTGTAGGAAGAAGGAGTTGATATATTTGACAGATTTTCTAGCAAAACTTTTAAGATGTGTGTCATGTTATTTTGCATAATCAATGACTTCCTAGCATATGAAAACTTAAATGACTACAATTATTAAGGAACACAAAGCTTGCCCTATGTGTGAAAATTGCACATGTCACCATTAATTGCATCATAGAAGGAAAACAATTTACCTTAGACATCAAAGATTTCTTACTCATAAACATCATTGACGTAGATTGAAGTAAACATTTAATGGTCTTCAGGAAAATGAAGTAGTTCCGACACCCTTAACTAGTGACCAAGTTTATGAACAAGTGAAGAACTTAAATGTGGTACTTATAAAGAATGAAAAACAACTAATTGAGAAAAACATATGGAAGAAAATGTTGATATTTTTTCATTTATCGTGTTAGCAGATGCTTGATATCAAACATTATATAGATGTCTTGCATGTGGAAGAATTGTTGCTAAGGATTTACGAAGTGCAAAGATTATGAATTACACAAGATAAGTATTGTAGGCACATTTGTATATATTGAGTAACACTAATGAAGTTGTACCTTACTAAATTGTTTCAAGGACTTTGTGAAGAAAAGTCATTCACAAATGCTTAAGAAATTATTGATCAACAAGTATAACAAAATATTCTTAAAGTGGCTCAAACATCAAATTGAGAATGATAATACAGCTTCTAAAGCATTGAAATGGCTAGCAATGGAGCCTAACTTTGATGTCATATGTTGGAGTGGGTATAATATCAATAACTACATGTTTTTTACCAAAAAGGAAGATCTGAAAAGTAACATACAAAATAATGAGGTTATGGCGGTAGCTAAGTCACAACATTTCTCGACTTCTAAAGACCCTAACCTAGTTACAATATCTTTATATTATTTGAAAGTCATTCAAGACATTTTGTTGGTTGATTAAATAAGTTTTAGAGTTCTAGTTTTTAAGGGTAAGTGGGTTGATAATAACATTGGAGTCGAGACCGATGATCTAGGCTTTACCTTGGTTAACCTGGAGAAGGCAAGTTCTAAGATGAGTCATTCATCATGGCAGACCAAGCAAAACAAGTTTTTTGTATTACTGTTCCTGCTAACAAAAAATGGCCAGTTGTTCTACAAGGAAAAAAACATGCATGGTACTCATGACCATGACAATTCAACACTTAAAATTAGTGAGACTCCTTCCTTTTTCACACACATGCCTAGGTTGAATATGAACAATGAGAGTGACGATGTATATGCTACATGTGATGACCATGATGAAAGATTGTGGGAGCATATTTAGACTTAAAACTAGTCATCTATTTAATAAATAAGGCTCATATCTATTATATTACTACTTGTTATGTGTATAATATTTGTTGTTATTTTAATTATTAACATGACTCATTTTTCCTTTTATAGACCTATGGCTAGCACATGAGATACTCTCCCTCCTCTTTCTCCTTCTCCTCCTCCTTCTCATTTTCCTTCTCTTCCTCTTCCTTGTTCTTTTCTTCCTTCATCTCATTCAACAGATGTAGAGTAGAGTCAATTGAGTCAGCCTACCAAGAAGAGGATTAGTAAACCTAGCATACTGAAAGACCTCATTGTTATCCAAAGAAAAGGTGAGCTAATTAAAACACGTTGACATTAACATGGAGACAAGTCTTACTTATAGGCAACATAAGCAACTTTTCATAGCTTTGTGGCCTTGATTGGGAGAAGCAAGGCTTTGATTACCTATGATAGTTGGGACCATGTTCCAAAGATTGTAAAGAAGCAAATATGGTAAACTATCATGGTATGAAACATTAATTATGTATTATTTATAATGATTGTTAATTATTTATTGAACATTTACTAACAAAATTATTGTATATGCACATCTCACTTATGACCGTCTTAAGTTGACTAGTTGATGAATAAATATATTAGTTATGCGACACAATGTTAGAGGGGTTTTAAGAGTCAACTTAATAGTGATTACATATTTTGTGACAAAAAAGATAAAAACCTTGTGATGATTATTAGTTTCTTGATCAAGAGACTTAGGACAAGTTCGGCAAGTACTAAATCTCACTAAAAATTTTGGTAATTAAGTCAACTCTCCAATCCAACTTTTTTATTTACATATATGTATTGTTAATACTAATCAATTTTGTTTTTCTATTATGTATATAATAGAAAAAATGGAAGCAAGCACAATAACTACAAACTCTTAATGTCTACACCCATGTACTATCTCGTGGGGGGTATAACAAGCTTAAGGATGACATGATTAAGGAGGCTTCTACTTCTTTAGCTGATGGATTAGGGGTCAACCAACAAAGTTGACCTAATCATCATGCCAAATGGAAAATGAATAGATAGAGGAAATCAGAATGACACAACTAGGGAAGTAGTAGGAAAGACTGTAAGTATACTCTTTTTCATATGTTGGATGGATTATTGATCATCAATTACTAACAAATATATTTAAACTATTGTATTGTGGGGTGAGTTAGAAGAAAAACTCATGCATAAGACATTTGTTGAGGAGGGGCATCAAGACATATTGACGGTTGCACTTAGCACTCAAGAGCATCTAGGTCGTGTGCGTATAGTTGGACAAGGTAATAACATCCACTACAAAAAAATGTTAAATAATTGAGGTTATTTTGCAAAAGTTTTAAAAACCTCTTGAAATTATTAAATTAGGTGAAAAAACTGCAATTTTTTATATTTAATTTACGGAGGTTTATAACCTCTTCTAATAATTTTTTCCCTTTTTCTCTAAAATAAAATATTTTTCCGCTTAAACCCGCACGCCCCACTCTTATAAAAAATCAGAATTCTCTTTTGTCAAAGAAATGAGAAAACCTTAAACGACGTTTGAGTGGCATCTGTGTAGTGAAGCACATTTGTTTCTTTCTTAGACGATTCTTGCGCACTACTGTCTTTCAAAAGGTAAATGAAAACTCCTTTTTGTTTCCTATTCAACGTGATTGCTTTTTCCCTTTGGATTTGAACATGTGATGGATTATAATGAGATGAACTTTTTCTTGATGTGATGGATTATAATGACATGGACTTTTTCTTGTTTATCTGTTTTTTCTATGATAGGACTAGGTCTTGCAAGAGATAAAGGCTATTAGCTTTGATAAAGTTTTCTCGAGTTTATGTTTGTCAAAAGGGGCTAAAGACTAAAGGAATTTGCTTTTATACTAGCAGGTATGTACTTATAGGAATTGTTGCAATCATATTTTGTTCAAGGTCTGCATTTCAAGTTTATGACACCGTCATACTATATTTCACATCACCATTTCGTATAACCAATAACTCACTGCCACACTTCCCATTGGAAACGGACAAACTGTTGAATAAACTTCATGAAGCATTCAATTTTTTTTTATTTTTTGGCAATGAATATTTTGTGGATTTTATGTCAGGATTTTCTCCCACCATCGGGACTATAACATATGCTTGACTTCAGGTTCTTAATTTTAACTTGATCAATATTTCTTGTAAGATCTAATATTTGTTTTGCCCAAACCAACTCATCATTATTTTTTCTTTTGCAGATTTTGGTCACAGGTGTTGGAGCAACCCTCAAAGATAAAGCTGGCAGGAAGCCCCTACTTCTGGTAAATTCAAAGCACAAAAAAGTTTATCTTCAAACTTTCCTGTGTTCATAAATATCCTTTTTGTGTATAATATTCTTATAGTTCTTTCTTGATTTCATTTTAGATATCTGGATCGGGATTGGTCACAGGATGTGTATTTGTAGCAGTTGCATTCTATCTTAAGGTACACCCTATAGCTTCTAGTTTTTCATCCTGATAATTTTGTGAAAATAGTATCCTTCTATGAAACAGGTTCACAAGGTGGGTGTTGCAGCAGTCCCATCATTTACCCTAACAGGCATACTAGTATGATAACCATTGCTACAATTTCTTTATTGACGTTGTTTCAAACACAATAGTAGAAAATATGTCTGCAATATATACTTTGTTATAGAGGTTCATGGAAAAGTGGAAAATTAAGTTCCAAGAAAGTGATTATACCAATATACTAAGCAACCAAAACTAATACAAGTAATTTCTACTTTAAGTACTGCTAGACAAAACTACACTACATATTTGACCCTGGATTTTCATATTTGACACTGGATTTTTACATGCAGATTCGACAAATATTTGACTTTGTTTCCTGAATTAAGAACGGTGGAGGGCAGGATGCCGAGAATCTAAGAGTCAAGGTATTTGTACCCCTAGTTCCTTTGATTCATCATGTTTTGCTAAATTCTATTTTTTTGACTATAATTAAGAAATTTCCTGAATTTTGTTTCACTCTATTTTCAAATAATTTTGTAAATATTCTATAAGTAATTGTCATGATGCTCTTATTTAAAGCCTGCAACTATCCATAGAAGCAACGTGCCAAAACCATTGTTATTCGGGATGCCATGGAAGAGAGCACCAGAGTTTTGGTTGTCATTCATGATGCACTGACTCATAGTAGATGTTAGATTTATTGATACTTTAGGTAACAAAAAGGATTCCTCTTGGATTTTAATTGGTTTCCTTTGTTTTAGATGTTGAGCAGTTGAGATGAAATTATTGCTGTCATTTTTCACTGCATTCAAAATGGTCCACACTGCCTACAATCCTTTTATTCCCCTCTCACCTCATCATTACTACTAGCAACACATTCCCAAATCTCCTCCATTTTTTATTTTTAACTAATTCAAACATTCATTACCCTTTATTTGAGAAATTAAGGGCTCTTACATATATTCATTTCTCTCTCCTTAAGGAATGTAACAATCATAAAACTTAAATGAGCTTTTAGAACCTTAATTTATTATAAAGCGAAGTAGATAAAGTTTTCTCATTAGTTTTCCTATGAGTCAGTTTTTTTTAAAATATTTTAATACTTATAATGTTCTTCACGTCTGTATAATGTCTGTATAATCTCTTGCTCTTGGTGGAATATTTGTGTCATATTTATTGTATACTGTCTATATAAATATATGTGTTTATATTTGTCTATATTTATATGTGTTTGTTAGTACTTGCTAATTTTGTTAACTAGAATCTACTTAGATTTTTAGTATGATTGTTGTATATATATATATATATAGTAGTTCAATATCTTTTCATTTTTTTAAATGAAAGAAAAAAAATTCCTCCTACCAGCTCTTTGATTAATTTAAGCTTTACAGTATAAATATATATGGACCACACGAGGATCAAATAGTGCAAAATCAAACTCACCCTCAGTCAAAACACTCTAGTTTGTATTAGAACACCAACCTGATAAAAAAAATTAAAAAAAAAACTAGCTCCTTTCTTTGGTTGATAATCACTCCCAACTCCTACCTAACTTTAAACTTTAATCCAATCAATTATCCCCAAAAAAATTACACACTTTTTTTGCTTTGTACTCTATTGAAATTTTTGGTTTGGCTGGATGTTTTGTTGGTTCAGTTCTAGTTTTGGTTGTTTAGAGTCTGAATGGACTACTCTCAGTCCTTGGTTATTGGGTTGGGAACTAGTTGGCTACTACACATCTCTGGTTTGGTGTTGCTATTATGGTTTTGGCTTCATGGAGTTGTTGGTCTATAGTTCTAGTTTTAACTATGAGTTATGTTGCTGGTTACATTAATTGGTTGGTCTGTTTTGGTCCTTGGCTAATATAGTCATGAGTGTTTGGAATTATCATTATCTATAATATTTGTGATATATATTTTTCTTGACTGAGTGTTTTTTCTTTTCTTATTTTAGCCAAACGATGCTTCAAGTATTCCTAATACACCTTTGGATGCAAGAGGATCATCTGGTGCTAGCAACCCTTAGTTTGCATATAATGTATTTTGGATTTAAAGTTTAGTATGAGGCTAATTTGACAATGTTATGAATTTTATGTTGTACTTGAAATTATAATAGAAGTTTGAATTATAAATCTGTGAACTATATGTTGTGTTTTTGGTTATTAGTAATGGAATTTCTTCATCCATTTTATGTGTATTTTTTTTTCATTAAGTTTCTTATAAATATCAAAAGTGAAAATGGGAAATTGTAATACATGTAGATTATGCAATTAAAATTAGTATAAAAATTATTATACACAGGAAAATAGGGAGGATTAGAAACTCCATAAAAATATATTGATTAATGATTGTAATAGTTAATTTACTTTAAAATCTCCACTAAATAATCTTTATTGTTATTCCACTTCAAAGCCTCCAGTAAAAAAACCTCTGCAATTAGCATAGCTTTAAAACCTCATTTAAAAAACCTCTGCAGTTAGCATAGTTTTAAAACCTCCTTTAAAAAAACCTCCACTATTAGTGTAGGTTTAAAACCTCCTTTAACAAAACCGCCGCTAAACACTCACAATACCAGAGGATTCCAAAAAAGATTGCTAATTGCTTGCGGCGAATGTAACTGCGAAGGTTTTTAGAAACCTCTGCGATTTATTTTGCGGAGGGTAAAAACCTCCACTAAACGTAAAAATAACCTCCATTATTTATCTCATTTATTGTAGTGATCTATCATGTCTTTGGACTTCCTTGAGGTAGCTATCTCAATAGATCACATATTAGTGATAAAGACTAGGCACGCCTTAAAGTTGAAGTGAAGGCATAGGTGATGGTGGACTTGAAAGAATAACTTGCATCCATGGCTCATACTGCATAACCTTCTCCTCCTCATGTTTTTGTTGCTGGCAGAACAAAAGGGAATTGTGTAGCCTTAGGCACATCAAAGGAGGATGTAGTTGATAAGACATCATTGGAGGTGTAATTAAACATTAACAAAACCCAAAACAAATGGTGGTCATAGGTAAGGTGCACATGTTGCGGTCAACCATCCACCACCAAGCTATTCCAAATGATATGGTACAAGTGGAGGTTATCGACATTAAGGAGCAGGATGCTCGAGTCCTTATGCCTATTGTAAACATTCAAACGGTGGGTCAAACCCTGAATACTTTTATTCTATGATCGAGCAGGCTAATTAGGGTCCATGGGCCTAAAATAATCAATGTTTCAATTTAATGCATTCTAAATGATGTTCCACTACAAGAAAAATTAAAATTAGAGAGGGAAAAAATCCGTCACTAAATTTTATAAAATCCGTTACAAAATAAATTAGTGACGGAATTTGTGAGAATTGATTCCGTCACAAAAATTGGCGTCACAAAATATTTAGTGACGGATAATTTCAGTCCGTCACAATTAGTGACGGAATTAAGGCATCACAAATAATATATTTTCCGTCACTAATTTCTAATAATAAATGTTCATAAATTAATAAAAATCTGTCGCAATTTGTGACGACCTCTAACTCTATCGCAATTTGTGAGGGATTAAATCTGTCGCAATTTGTGAGGGACTGACTCCGTCACAAATTTGTGAAGGATATGTATATCTTATTACACAAGTGGAGAGGGATGTGTGTCCGTCATAAATTGTGATGATGAATAAAATCCGTCACAATTTGCGATAAATAAAATTTGTCACAAATTGTGATGAATAAAATCCGTCACAAATTGCGATGAATGAAATTCGTCACAAACGGCGATGAATGAAATCCGTCACAAATTGTGATGAATGAAATCCGTCACAAATTGCAATGAGTGAAATCCGTCACAAATTACGAATTATTAATCTTATAAAGAACTTTTTTCGTAAATTTGTGAAGAATATGTTTTTCTCATGTAATTGTGATATAATTTTTTAATTATGAATATAACAAATAATTTATTAATTAATCCAAAAGGTTGAATTTATTGTCTATTTGTTTAAAAAATTAACAAAATAAATAATTAAGAAAAATTTCTCAATTCTATAAAAGCATGTAACTAAACATGAATATAAGAAAGTCAAGCATTCCATAGATACAAATAAAACCAAATATAACAAAGTTTAGGACTTTAGTTGATCCCTAATGTATGATAAGTACTATAGTAAAACTTAAACATAACAAAGTATAAGATTAAAACATAGTAGATATTAATAATAGTAAAAGATTATGCATCCCTAAACATCTATCATGATCATCATCTAACTCATTATCATCAGATTGTATAGTATCAACATCATGTGTAGGAGTAGGTTGGGGAGGATGAGAAGATTGAGAAAACATCTCCATAAATTGCTTCAGTTGCTCACGAACCAATCGAGACTCTTCCTGTGAAGCACGAATCAAATCTGCATGGCTTTGCAATTGTTCTTTCAATGTTTTGTTTTCTTCAGACAAATTTGAAACAAGATTTTTCATTTGTTCATACTCAAGATTTGAGATACCATCTAAGAATGTAGAAGAAGAAGGTTCATACTTCCCAGCCTCTGAACCTAAACCAAATATTCTTCCTTTATTGTTCACACCACTAACAACATCATAGAAAATACTATTTTCATATTGCACACTAGAGGCAGCATGATCTCCCGATAATTGTTGTGACTCTCTTTCAGATAATCGTCTTTCATACTCATTCTATAAAAAGAAAAGTAAGAAACAAAAGTATATAAACATTAATGACAATAGAAGATCTCATGAATGTCATGAATGATGCAGAGAATCATGCAAGAAGAACACACAAAAATACTTAGTAAAAGTCTAAGATGTAACTTATGAGCAACATCACTAGATAAGTATGAATTCCAATGAAATTAGTAACTTGTAAACCTAGATGCAACACCACATACACATGAATCTCATTGAATTTAGCAATTAGTAAACTAAGATGTAGAGATGGTGGCACTTCACATTGCATGAAACTAAAATTGAGCACAACCAATAAGGTGAAATGATTCTATGTTCACATAATTCAGTAAAAAATTCAAATCATATAAAAAAATTACATACTATAAATGGTATAGCTTGCAATTTTGAGACCATTAACTGTAACCTATCTTAATATGTCAAGTCGACAGTGAAGGACGAAACATGACAACTTTCACAGTACCATAACTTTTGAATAAACTGTGCAAACATTAATAACTATATATCATTTTTATATATAATTTTTTTAGAGCATTTTGTCGTTATAACTTTTGAAGTACTTTTTATGTTTCATAAAATTTATACTATTAATAACGTCATATTTTATTTTGGTGTATACTTTTTAAAATCATTTTTCTCTTTTTATATTTCAACATAAAAGATTCCAGTATTCCCACCCCATGTATAGACTATAAACTGAATAAATATGAACTTGTAATTTGGAATACCATGAAGTTAAGATGCATGTAGTTTTCATCAGTGATATAAATTAAAAGGAATCTCGAATGCTACTTATGATGTATGTACTTTTAATTTTAAATAGAACAATAAGGATGGAAGTGACATATGACAGCGGGAGAGAATGAAGGATCACAGTTTTTAATGAATTCCTTCACCTAAACTCATTTTTTAGGTGGCAATCGACATATAATAATAGGAAAACCATATAAGAAGGATCACAAACACCATAAACAAAACAAATGAACACAAAGATCAATATTTGAAAGAAAAACCAAAACTTACAACGCGAGATGATATAGCATGGGCAATTTTTATATATGCCTGCAAGAAAGTAGTATAAAACAGTAATGAACCATATTAATATCAACTAGTTAATAGAAAATAGCAATTAAGAAATAAGATATTTTGGTCTATGGTCATGCTTATTTAATGTAAATCACTACTAAACTAAATCATTATGCATTCAATTCAGTATCCATGATGTCCTAATTTAGTAATATTAGAGACTATTTTGAGTCTTTAAAGTCTAGATCCCCCCTAAACCTACCTAGGATTCTAGGATTAGGAAAATAATTCAGATAAAAGAAGATGGAGTATGACATGGAGGGAACTCGTGTGGATTCCCTTCCATTTTAAAAAGACTGATGAGGTGTGGTAATAGATAGGTCTGGGATAGAAAATAAAATAAGATTGAGAAGGAAAATAAAGATAAAAGTAGGGACAGAGAGAAAAAAAGGATTGGAGGCATTATGGTAAGGATCAATTTGTTAACCCAAAAATAATGAGGGTAAAAGTTTTGAATAAGCAATTTTATTTATTATTTTCAAGATTAAAAAATACTTGATTACAAAAATAGATAAGGTAAAATATAATTGTGTCAGCATACAATATGATCCATCATACACATATAGCTAGCACAAAAATAGACGACTATGAATGCACCAACTAGCGGTTACTTATAATTCAAAAAAACAGACACCTACAAATGCAAACATACCTATGTTAGATAAAACCCAACAGAATAAGACGATGAAACTGGGAGAAAACAAAAGGTGACCAATAAATTAGAATGATTAAATCAGCAGCACAATTATCAATCTTGGAAAGTGGCACATGGTAGCTGACCATAAAAATACTGTGGTGTAATAGTGCATAGTGGAATGGCCATTATTGTGATATTTTATAAACAGAGTAAGAGTATACAATAATTTATTTATACTATATACATATAATTGCTCAATAATTAAAAAGAAAGCTAATAGATATTCATAATTAACAATAAAAAGAAAATAAACACTGGAATGTGGCGGGAAACAAACAAAATGCAACCAGCAAGAGAAGAGAAGGTCACAATCACTAGAAAAAGGTTACAGTCACTAGAAAACTGACAGAGAAAATTTATAAATTAATGAGGATAAATTGGTAATTAAAACCAAAACTAATCTACCCAAAAATGCATTATAGGAAGAAATATTGAAGGGTGGGAGGGCTTCAGATGATACACACCACTTTACCCTTCCAAAATTTATAGTGAGGGTCAGACCAAAGGGCATTCTTCTAGACTTCCAGAAAACACTATCATAGAGAAATATGGAACTAGAACATGCTAATTTCAATAGTCTTAGAGAAATGCCAACTATTCCATCATACCATGATAATCAGCAAACCAACTAACAAACCATAAAGTTGACACCAAAATATATATCTTAAAGGTGGAACATGACTCATTTCCTGTGGTGGAAGACGGAACAATTGACAATACTCTTCACTGTTCAATACGTCTGGAGACTGTAACAAAAACAGAACAAAACAATCACAATCACAGAAGTAATATAACATAATCAACAATACGTTGAGTGAGGAAGAAAATGGAGTAGAAAGACGTTGAGTGAGGAAGAGAATAGAGAGACATTTGACAATGGGAATTGGAAACCCTAACCTTAGGAGGGGCGGAGCCCTAATTTTTTCGGGAGAGAGAGCGAAAATGAATTCCAGCAGGCGCACTAATTTTTTCATCCTCACGGACGGGTTTGAGACTCTAATAGATAAAGGATTTTGTTTTATTATTTGTTTTCAAAATTTTTTAACAATATTTTTTTAAACAAATTTTACATTAAATTATTAACTATAGTCATTTTTTAACTAAGTTATTTAATTTTAGTTTTTACAATGATTTTTTTTATTATTTTTATACTGAATTTAAATTTATTCAACTTATTAAAAAACTAAATTTAAGATATCTCTATTTGTCAAATTCATTTTTTTTATATAAAATAAAAAAAATATAAATTGTTGTTTCAATAATTTTTAAATTCATTTTTAAAAATTTAAATATATAATCATATTTTATTGTAAATTCAATTTTAAAATTAGCCTAATTTTGAATTTTGAAATTTATATAATTTTTATGGGTTTTTTAATTACAAAAATTCAAATAACTAAATTTATGTTATTTTTAATATTTTATTTGGAAATTTGATTTCTTTTGAGTTTTTTCCAAAAAAAAATTATAAAAAAAATATACAATAAATTATTACATTTAGTCATTTTTTTTAATCTAAATCATGTTTACTCATTTAAAAAAAATCAATTTAAACTTATTTATAACTTAACTAAAGATAAAAGAAATACAAAGGTTTTGGTTTTCACTTTATTAAAAAATAACCTCCATGTAGTAGTTTTGTTGGTTATCCAATTTTACAGTTTTGTTTGATTTTACAATAAAAATAAGACATAATTTAAAACAGAAAAATTATTACGGTTGAAGGAGGATGGAGCAAAGCAACTCTTGCAATTCAAAATCAAAGTGTTTAAGGTTTATCAAATATGCATTCTAATTCATCACATTAGTAGTACTTTCCATTTTCATTCGAATTAAATCTTAGATATAAGGTTCCCAACCTCTCCATGTTCTTGTTAATCGAATTCATAACGACCATGTTTGGAATGCCCCGTTCTCAACTACAGTTTATAGTTCTTTTTAGTAGTTTGGAACGACCCGTTCCAGTTTGGGAATAGCCCGTTCCAGTTTGGAAACGACATGTTCTGGCCTACTAAATCACCATTTTCTGAAAATTTAGGTGTTACAATTTTTACTTTATAAGTCAGTTTTATAAAATTGAGTTAGATCCATATTTCACTTCTTAATATACTATTAAAATAAAAATGAAAAATAGGAGAAAATTTATAATTTTAAAAATTGAAAGAAATTAAAATCATGTTATCAAAATTATATATACTAGAGGGGCTGAGGCACTTTGTGCCTCTAATAGTTAAACACATACATATATTACAAATTACAGATAGTTATTTAGAAAGAATATATAAAGATTTTTATTTTTTATTTTAAGGGGTATAATAGTCCATTAAAAAGTGGATACCAAAGGGATGATTACCAAAATATATGCCCTTTATAATAGATATAGATAAAACACGTTCATCAAAATTTATACATAATTATGTACATGTATAAGTATTATATAAAATTGATTAAGCAGTATTGGAACATTTTTATATGCCTAATGTGAATTATAATATTTGTTGAAACATATTGGATTTATAACTTCATACGTACTTTGATTGATTTGTTACTAATGGAAGGATGATTACTAATGGTTCTTTGGCTTAATGCTTAAAGCATAAGAAAAACTAAAATTGAAAAGCATATACACTTCATGAGTTTCATCTTCAAAAAGAGGAAAACACTTGCAAAACTTTTGTGTGAAATAAGAGAAGGTTGTACAAGTCAATTATTGTTACTAATCATCATTGTTATTATTTATCCACTTATACCTCACTTCACTTTGTTCAATGATTTTTCATTTTTAAATGGGTATGTTTATGTGCACTCATTTTCACTACACTTCTTGTGTGTTCTTATCAACAAATGTGTTCCTGTCAAAGCCATGGTTGAGCCAAGTACTATAGTACTAATAAAAATTGATTCACTAGAGTGTGGGATTATTTCTAAAAATTTGTTAGATAGGAATCATTGTATGAAGGGTTTCAAGATTTCTTGTTTTCTTACTTCTTTTCCTTGATTTAGGAGCAATTAAAGTTAAAAAAAATAAAAATAAAAAAACTTGTAAATTATCCTTGTCACTTTTAAATATAAATCAAATTAATTTATAAGTTTGTTTTTAAACATAAAAATAAAGAAATTAAAAGATATTATTTTATTCAAATAAAATAAGAAATTTTTCATTTTTTAAATAAAAATTTAAAATTTAAAATTAAAAAATTATGAAATTAGAAAGACATTTTTCAATAAACAATTAAATTAAAAAAATAAGAAATCAATAACTTAGAAAAATAAATTGACACTTCTAATTTCTTTAGTTAAATTTATATGTATTTTGTAAATTTATTATATTATAATTAAAATATTAAATTAAAAAATTTATTTTAAGTATTTTTTAATTACACATTCATTTTAATACTCTTTTTTTAATTTCACAAGTTTTTTTATTTTGAATATTTTTAATGAATGTCTTAATTTCTTATGCTCAAAATTGACAATTTTTTATTTAATTAAATAAATTTCATAAATTTTTCAGTCCTTTAATGAAAAAAACTATTTTTAATTTTATAATTTTTTAAAAATTTTTTTAACATATTTTCTTTAATTATGCATAATTCTTAGATATAACAGTTTCATAAATAAAATTTAATATTTTGAGAGGGAACAATTCGTCACAAATTTTGTCACAAAATATTTTAAAGCTATTTGTGACGAAATTTATGTCGACATACAAATGTTGACTAAAATTTCATTATAAAATCTGTCACTAACTCATTTATTATAGTATTGTGACGCATTTTTTGTGATGAAATATTTATAGACGAACTTAATTTGTCACAAAATCCGTCACTAATTTTTTTTTTTATTTAGTGACGAAATTTGTGAGGAACTTTTAGAGAAGAAATTTTTTCCGTCACAAAATCCGTTACAAATGTTTTTTTTATATTTAGTGACGAAATTTGTGACAGATTCTTTAGAGACGAAATTTATTCCGTCACAAAATTCAATAAATGATAGTCCGTCACAAAACTTAAAATTCCCTCACAAAATGCGTCACTATTAGCGACGATATTGTTTCTGTCACAAAATTCGTCACAAATATTAATTTTTCTAGTAGTGTTCTTAATTATTTGTGTGTTACTAACTTAATCATTTGTAACAGCTCGATTTTCACAGATTGTTTGAGGGCCTAAAGGCCCAATAGGGGTGCTTTAGTAGCCCAGAACGGGTCGTTCTCAAATCGGAACGGGCCATTCCAAACGACTAAGACGAGAGTGATTTTGTATCCCAGAACGGGCCGTTCCCAAATTGGAATGGACCGTTCCCAAATTGGAACGGGTCGTTCCAAAATACAAAAATTGTCTACAAATTTTAGATGGGAACGGGACGTTCTCAAATTGGAACGGAGCGTTCCCAAATTGAGAACGGGCCGTTCCAAAATATGACCGTTGTGAGTATTAAATGCACCCCAGAACGGGCCATTCTGGTTTGAGAACGGGCCGTTCTGGATGTGATTTTTAGTCGTGATTTAAGGGTCCAGAACGGGCCGTTCTAGATTTGGAACGAGTCGTTCCTGCGAAGCCTGATGCCTATAAATAGAGCGTTCTGCCTCTCCCAAAAAGCACACCTCTCATTTTCTAATTTCTTTTCTTTTGCTCTCTCTTCTTTCCCTCTACTTTCTGCTTCAGACCAAGGGGAACCCAGCGAGGGAGACCAACCAGATCTTGAGTAGGTTCAGCTATTACTTATCAAGGTGCGAGGGAAAAGGGGATTATTTGTATGCAAAGTTACATGAGGGAATTGGGTAGAAGAGGAAACTCGTAGGATTATGAGTAATTTTATAATTATTTCTGTTTGAGAAATTGATGACCCCATTAGATTCCTTATGTGTTGAGGATTAGAAATATATATTTAATTTGTAAGAATGATGATCTGGGAGAGAGAACGAAATTATAGAAAAGTGCCTATTAGTTAGGTTTTGGGAAAATTTGATTATTTCTGTTTGAGAAATTGATGACCCCATTAGATTCCTTATGTGTTGAGGATTAGAAATATATATTTAATTTGTAAGAATGATGATCTGAGAGGGAGAACGAAACTGTAGAAAAATGCTTGTGAGTTAGGTTTTGGAATAATTGGGGGTTTTACCGTTTATGTTAAGATTATATTAAATTGCTAATTCTATTAATTATTATATTAATTTATGAATGTTATTGTTATATTATTTGATAAAATTGATGATCTAGATGAGGATTGATGGTGAATTACTTTAGGTGTATGTGAACCACCATTTTGTGTGGATTGTGTATGTATTGTGGAATTGAGATGTGGATGTGGATGTGGATGTGGATGTGAATGAGAATGTGATTGTGGTTCCTCACACTTGTGATCAGGGGTGGCACGACCTTAGGCAAGAAATGCTACAGGCATGACCTTGGCATAGTATGGGATGGATGATTCCTCATGCTTATGTCGGGGGTGGAACAACCTCGAGCAAGAGATGTTGCAGGCGTGACCTTGGCACAATGTAGGATGTGTGATTTCTCATGCTTATGTCGGGGGTGGCACGACCTTGGGCAAGAGATGCTACAGGCGTGACCTTGGCATAATATGGGATGGATGATTCCTCATGCTTATGTTGGGGGTGGCACGACCTCGAGCAAGAGATGCTACAGGCGTGACCTTGGCATATGGTTAATTGCAAGATTTGTGATGGATTGGTGTGATTGTGAATTGTGATGTGAAGATGTTGTGTGATTGATAGAATTAGGATAGATAGAAATGCTTGTAAATACTTCAATAAGTAATGAGTTATGATGAGACGATATTGTGGATTTTTCTTGTGTGCTTTTCATATAGATGTTTTCTTTTCTCACCGTATAATTTGTGGATGTTTTAGGTGAGGAAGATCCGGCTATGAGTGGCATCTAGAATGCCAACAATTGAGTTATGGGTATGCTCTGATATTGTGACATCGGGGCAGAGGACTTCTAGGACATGGAATT